GGTCCGGTCGTGGGGCCTGAACTCTGGGCCTGGGTGCTGTCCCTCAGCTCAAGGCTAGCGCTCTACCACTTGAGCCACAGCGCTATTTCCCGCTTTTTTCTTTTTTGCTTATGTGGTGCTGAGGAATCGAACCCAAGGCCTCAGGCATGCAAGGCAAGTGCTCTACCACTGAGCCACCTTCCCAGCCCCAGAAACTGTGAAATTCTTATCTCAAATTAACCAACAAAAGCCAGAAATGGAGCTGTGGCTCAAGTGGTATAGTGCTAGCACAAAAGTTCAAGGAAAAGTGCCTAGATCCTGAGTTTCAAGCCCTAGGATTGGCATAAAAACATTAAAAAAATAAAAATAAAAACTGCTCAAGCAAGTTGGAATTTAGATACTAGGATATTAAAAATATAATAACATTATCAGAAGTCTTAGCATTCTGATGCTCAAGGTATCAGAATGGAGGAAGCCTGGGTGAGCACCAGGTACAAAGCAAAGCCACACAAAGGACAAACACTTGCTTGTACACAGATACCTGCTTGTAAATCTGGCCTTTCTGCAACTTGTGGATTTTATCCCAGAGTAAGACACCTTTCTCATTCACCTTTCGGAAAGGTCTAACAAGAGAAAGAGAAACATTACACACAGGATAACAGTGCAGGCACTGGCTCCCTGAAACACCACCCAGCTTCACAGATAGCCAGAAGAAGCTCCCTCAAACACTCTGGAACTCAGATTCCATCCCATTCCCTGACCTGGGGTTACACATCTCAGACTAGAAGACCCACTGTCTATGGAGTGTTCACTCTCTCTCTCTCTCTCTCTCTCTCTCTCTCTCTCACACACACACACACACACACACACACACATTCCAGGGTCAAATACACTTGGGAAAACACTACATATTGCAAAGTTCTTGAGAGCTCTAAAATGTGATGCTCTAAACATTCTTTAGGTCAGACTTCCCAAAGGTATTTGACCACACAGTATGTCTGCCTTACTGCAAAAGCTTGCGTACATTTACCAGGCTGAAATTCAACCACTTTGGATAAGAAACAAGTCAGAGGACAAGGAGGCTATGATATGACAGGAAAGACATAAACATAACATGTAACAGACAAAAGCCTCATCCCCCGGACCACAGGGCTCAGAGACAGTTTGCCTTTCTTTTTCTAAAATGTTTTGGGGGACTGTTTTTCCCATTAGAAAAACAGAATGTAACAAGCTACTCAGAACATAGAAATAGGAGGATTGCAGTTCGAGTTCAGCCTAGACAAAAGTGAGTGAGAACCCCATCTTGCTAGATGAGCAAATCAGAGACAGTGGTGCACCTGTAATCCAGCCACACTGGAGGTTGAAAAATAAGGATTGCCATCTGAGACTGCCCTGGACAAAAATGTAGGGCCCTATTTGAAAAATGTAAGAAGCAAAGAGGTGGGGGGGGGGTATCTTAAGGGACAAAGTGCCTGCCTAAAAAGAATGAGACCCTAAGTTCAAATCCTGAAAAGGAATGCAGAGAGAGAGAAAGGAATGGAGGGAGGGAGAGAGGGAGAAAGGGAGGGAAGAAAGGAAGAAGTGGGGGAGGGAGGGAAGGAAGGAAGAAGAAGGAGGAGAGGGAGAGGACTGGATTTTAGAGTCACAAGAGACTAGACTAGTACATTGAGCACTAACTACAGGTCACTACTTTGAGATGCTCTGAACCCCCACGAAAGTCACCAACTACAGACTAGATAAAAAGTGTTTCAAAACTAGGCCACTACATAAACATGAGCTATTTTGAGAGCCCAGTGTAGGGCTCTAACACATGAGGACCTTTTGGGATGGGAGCAGCTGGTGTGACCCCAGACTAAAAGAAGCATTAGTGCTCACCTCCACCCACTCAATACTAACAGCCCAGCCCCTCACTGTCACAACCCAACACTCACCTTTCCCTGTCCCAAAGCTACCGCAGCCCAGAGACATTGCATAAGACTCATGGAGATTCATCCCACCTGATGCAAGCCCTGTTGCAAAAACGTTTCACAAAATCCAACTGCAATTTCAAATGCACAGAGATACCCACCAGACAATCCGTTATTACTGCTTTCTTTTGTTGTTGTTGAAACACACCATGAAGCCTAGGCTGGCCTCAAACTGGCAATCCTCCTTTCTCAGCCTTCTGAGATTATAGGCATGCACCACCATGCCTGGCATTGGAATCATTTTCTCATGCTTTACAATACTCCACAGACACAGACCTATTTTGCTATGTGATATTAAATATTCAATTTTTGCTACTGTCCATCATTTTCTTAAAGCCTGATTCACAGGTCAGAGGTCACCAGAGTGGAAATGAAAAATCACTTCAACCACGCAAGCTGTCTGCTCTGTGCCAGTCCCAGACTCTGCAATCAGTGACTGAAAAGGTTACAAGTCAGAAACGACCATGTCAGAGGTTTAGGGTTTTGCAATTGGACTTCACCAGGGCATGCTGCAAGTATTTGGGACACCA